TTTCTACAAGATATAACGATGCACCGAACTTTGTTTTACACAAACCATATAGTAATTTATAGTAATAAAATAATATTACTATATTATTAAATTATAATATAGGTATTACAGGTACTCGTATATAGGAAATAAATGTATCGAAGCCGGTCCTGTACACGACATATAATATCTTCCCCCTCGTTTCGGAAACTCCTCCGTCTAATTGATAAAATATTCGAAATATGTTTACACGTCCGTGAACGCGCAAAAAACGATTAGTTCTGCTTAGTTGTCTGCTTGAAATTTCACTTTCGATTTTCCAGAGGTACTGGAGGGTAAATCGAATATTCGGCAAGTTATACACGAGGAGCCCTTTGATGTCGATGTGGAAAACGGGGCGATGAAGGAATTTTTTTTTTCGTTTTTTTTTTATTAAAAATACCTAGCCCAATTGAAGAGGTCGGGGCGATGTGATGATTAAAAAGGGAGTTTTTATTATATTGTAATTCCGGGCCTGCATTCGGTGTTGAATACAGTCAAACGTTGACATATTTGACAGTTGACGTTTTCTTTAGTTCTGTAAATGATAAGTTGTTCTATGATCGTTCGTTTTTAAGTCGTTATTGGAAATGTACTCTTTCGTACTTAAAATAGAGTAAAAGTTTAAGATTAAAAGGTCTCAACAGTGTGTTTATCTCGACAATAATATAATTTTTTCATCCTGAAATGTAGGCTTTAAATGGGTTATTTCTTGTATAGGACCATTTAAATATCGTAGGAGATTAGTTGTAGATGTATTAAATCGTTAAATAAACTCACTTACCTTGAATTTAACGCTGAAAATCCAGTGATAATGCGAAATTAAGGCGAATCCAACGGCAGAGTGTCCTTTATCATCGGCGAATCAAATGACACTGTTGACAGTTGACATATTCGAATGTCTTCTCGATAGAAAATGAGTTATTTCACGTTTATTTGTACACAATTAAGTTTAAAAAACTTGGAAATTATTAAAATAATTAAATTATTACATTATTATTCGTCGAACGAATGACGTACGAATTTCAAAATATCGGAAAATTATCGACACGAATCATCGTTCGGGTATCATCGTACGTCATCGCCGATCGAAAAGTTTTCACTTCCGGTTCGACGGCATCGATTTCGAAAAATCTTTATAATTCGATAAATAACATTTAAAAAAATTAAAAAAAAAATTCGGTATAAAGAAAAATGTCGGATCTATTAATTTTCGTTTACAAAAATTTTCTAAAACATGATTCTAAAACATTTCTAAAACATTTCTAAGAGTTGAACAAAGAAAGATTATTAAAATGACAGTTGTCAGAGTGAAAAGTTGCAATCACACAAATGTCACTCTTTCCTTTTTCTTTATAAGTGTTGAATTGAAGTTGTCTTTGTTGCACCCATAGCCTATATTGCAATGAAAAATGGAGCAATCTGTATATTTTTTTTAAATATTTTATCATCATCTTATTTTATATAGTGGAATTAAATCGTTAATGGAATTATATAACGTTATATCCAAAATGCAGGATATCGATTTAATCGGCTTACTAACTTACAATTCGATGATAATCCCTTTATATACGCATACACAAAACTCCAATTATCTGGAAAACTATTCGAGATAAAATTACGAAATTTCCACCATATTTTAGAAAAAACAATTCTCTACAAATTTCAAAGAAACGAAAATTTCACAAAGTTCCCAAATTTTCGAGATATTTGAGCTTCTCCGGCGCTCTTACATAAAAAGTTCAAAAAACTTTTCTGCGACGCTCCCGAATTATCTTAATTATCTAGAAAACTAATCGAGATAAAATCACCAAATCTTTACTATTTTATAAAAAAATAAATTCTCTACAACTCTCAAAAAATAGAAAATTTCGAAAAATCGACTAATTTTCGAGATATTCTCTAAAACATTTTATTTAACAATTTTTTGTTCAAAATTCGCTCTAGAACATGTATTGACATAAACTTTTCTTCTTAAAATCCTCTGTATATTCATAAATAATACAATAATACTGCAATAAATATAGCATATAAATACAATATAGTATCGTATAATAGTGCAATAGAAATTCAATAAAATCAACCACCTGCTGTTTCGAGTCCATCAATCTTCCCGAATTTTCCGCGAGTCTGTCGAGGAATACATTTAGCAGTTCCTGCCTGAGCAAGTCCTGTAAAGCAGGAGGGTGTAAATCCGCTACACGAATCCTTTTTGTCCTGCCTATTTAACTCTTTTAATCGCAATTTCATGCGACGTCATACCTATTAGTCCTTAGCAAAACGATCGCCCCCTGTATTTTAAAACGACCGAATGAATAGTTCTATTTAAAGGGATGCAAGTGTTCAACGTGTATATATGATGGGTATAAAGGGATTATTCAATTATAACGTATACGAGTCGAATTGTAAGTTAGTAAGCCGATTAAATCGATATCCTGCATCGGGATTATAATTGTATAATTTCACTATATAAAATGAGATTTTTTAGAGAGAATTAGTCGATTTTTCGAAATTTTTTATTTTTGGAGAGTTGTAGAGAATTTATTTTTTTATAAAATGGTAAAGATTTGGTGATTTTATCTCGATTAGTTTTCCAGATAATGGACATAATTCGTGAGCGTTGCATAAAAGTTTTTTGTACTTTTTATGTAAGAGCACCGAAGTTGCTCGAATATCTCGAAAATTAGTCAATTTTTCGAAATTTTCGATTCCATGAGAGTTGTAGAGAATTTATTTTTCCATACACTAGTGATGATTTAGTGATTTTATCTCGATTAGTTTCCGAGATAATAGAGATAATTTGTGAGCGTTGCATAAAAGTTTTTTGTACTTTTTATGTAAAAGCACCGAAATGGCTCGCATATCTCAAAAATTAGTCAATTTTTCGAAATTTTCGATTCTATGAGAGTTGTAGAGAATTTATTTTTCTATACACTAGTGATGATTTAGTGATTTTATCTCGATTAGTTTCCGAGATAATAGAGATAATTTGTGAGCGTTGCATAAAAGTTTTTTGTACTTTTTATGTAAGAGCACCGAAGTTGCTCGAATATCTCGAAAATTAGTCAATTTTTCGAAATTTTCGATTCCATGAGAGTTGTAGAGAATTTATTTTTCTATACACTAGTGATGATTTAGTGATTTTATCTCGATTAGTTTCCGAGATAATAGAGATAATTTGTGAGCGTTGCATAAAAGTTTTTTGTACTTTTTATGTAAAAGCACCGAAATGGCTCGAATATCTCAAAAATTAGTCAATTTTTCGAAATTTTCGATTCCATGAGAGTTGTAGAGAATTTATTTTTCTATACACTAGTGATGATTTAGTGATTTTATCTCGATTAGTTTCCGAGATAATAGAGATAATTTGTGAGCGTTGCATAAAAGTTTTTTGTACTTTTTATGTAAGAGCACCGAAGTTGCTCGAATATCTTGAAAATTAGTCAATTTTTCGAAATTTTTGATTCCATGAGAGTTGTAGAGAATTTATTTTTCTATACACTAGTGATGATTTAGTGATTTTATCTCGATTAGTTTCCGAGATAATAGAGATAATTTGTGAGCGTTGCATAAAAGTTTTTTGTACTTTTTATGTAAAAGCACCGAAATGGCTCGAATATCTCAAAAATTAGTCAATTTTTCGAAATTTTCGATTCCATGAGAGTTGTAGAGAATTTATTTTTCTATACACTAGTGATGATTTAGTGATTTTATCTCGATTAGTTTCCGAGATAATAGAGATAATTTGTGAGCGTTGCATAAAAGTTTTTTGTACTTTTTATGTAAAAGCACCGAAATGGCTCGAATATCTCAAAAATTAGTCAATTTTTCGAAATTTTCGATTCCATGAGAGTTGTAGAGAATTTATTTTTCTATACACTAGTGATGATTTAGTGATTTTATCTCGATTAGTTTCCGAGATAATAGAGATAATTTGTGAGCGTTGCATAAAAGTTTTTTGTACTTTTTATGTAAGAGCACCGAAATGGCTCGAATATCTCGAAAATTAGTTAATTTTTCGAAATTTTCTATTTTTTGAGAGTTGTAGAGAATTTATTTTTCTATACAGTAGTGAAGATTTAGTGATTTTATCTCGGTTAGTTTTCGAGATAATGGAGATAATTGGTGAGTGTTGCATAAAAGTTTTTTGTACTTTTTATGTAAGAGCACCGAAATGGCTCGAATATCTCGAAAATTAGTTAATTTTTCGAAATTTTCTATTTGTTGAGAGTTGTAGGGAATTTATTTTTCTATATATTAGTGAAAACTTGGTGATTTAATCTCGATTAATTTTCGAGATAATTAAGATAATTCGGGACCGTTGCAGAAAATTTTTTTGAACTTTTTATGTAAGAGCGCCGGAGAAGCTCGCTTATCTCGAAAATTTGGGGATTTTATGAAATTTTCGACTCTTCAAAATTTGTGGAGAATTGCTTTTTCTAAAATATGGTGGCAATTTCGTAATTTTATCTCGAATAGTTTTCGAGATAATTAAAGTTTTTTGTGGTGTTGTTCAAGAAAAGTTGTTTACTTATTTCGAATAAACTCGAAATATCTCGAAAATTTAGGTATTTTTTCAAATTATTTAAATTAGAAAATTGTATAATAATGTTTTCTCTATAAAATGGTGTAAAAGTTTCGGATCGAATTTGCTCCAAAATGAGGATTATCAAATTAATTTTGGTTTTTAGAAAAAATCAGTGGCGTACCATTTTTTCATCAAACATATCCAGTTCACACCCCTCAAAAAATGCTCCTTAATAATTAAAAAGCGTGCACAAAATTTCATAAAAATATCTGCAGTAATAAGAAAATTATGATGGAAAATTTAATTATTTTTTCTAAAATTATAACACCCTGTAACTCGAAAACTAATACATTTATTGATATAAAGTTTTTTTCATAAAATCAACCAAATATTCACATCCTGAAGTATCTGCACTCAATTAAACAACACCCTGTAAAGATGTTTATATATACAAAAGTTGAATTTTCCTGAAATTAATATAGAAAATTCGTTCCAATATATCAGCAGCAGGAGCAGACAGTTTGTGCGGTTCGTGCCGCAGGACGATCAACGATCGATTCCTGCTAAGGATAATGGAAATTTCCTATCACGAGCGCTGCGTTCGATGCTGCATTTGCGGAGACCATTTGCTGCATACCTGCTTCGTCAGAGACCACAAATTGTACTGTAGATTAGATTACGATAGGTAAGAAACGAAAAATCAATACTTTTTAATTTTAGATTTTATTTGAATTGCGTTTATTTTTAATTGTTTTATCTCGATAATTGATAACTTTTGGTAGACCATTTGCTGCATACCTGCTTCGTTAGAGACCACAAATTGTATTGTAGATTAGATTACGATAGGAAAGAAACAAAAATCAATACTTTTTAATTTTAGATTTTATTTGAATTGCATTTTTTTTTAATTGTTTTATCTCGATAATTGATAACTTTTGGTAGACCATTTGCTGCATACCTGCTTCGTTAGAGACCACAAATTGTACTGTAGATTAGATTACGATAGGTAAGAAACGAAAAATCAATACTTTTTAATTTTAGATTTTATTTGAATTGCATTTTTTTTTAATTGTTTTATCTCGAGAATTGATAACTTTTGGTAGACCATTTGCTGCATACCTGCTTCGTTAGAGACCACAAATTGTATTGTAGATTAGATTACGATAGGTAAGAAACGAAAAATCAATACTTTTTAATTTTAGATTTTATTTGAATTGCATTTTTTTTTAATTGTTTTATCTCGAGAATTGATAACTTTTGGTAGACCATTTGCTGCATACCTGCTTCGTTAGAGACCACAAATTGTATTGTAGATTAGATTACGATAGGTAAGAAACGAAAAATCAATACTTTTTAATTTTAGATTTTATTTGAATTGCATTTTTTTTTAATTGTTTTATCTCGAGAATTGATAACTTTTGGTAGACCATTTGCTGCATACCTGCTTCGTTAGAGACCACAAATTGTATTGTAGATTAGATTACGATAGGTAAGAAACGAAAAATCAATACTTTTTAATTTTAGATTTTATTTGAATTGCATTTTTTTTAATTGTTTTATCTCGAGAATTGATAACTTTTGGTAGACCATTTGCTGCATACCTGCTTCGTTAGAGACCACAAATTGTATTGTAGATTAGATTACGATAGGTAAGAAACGAAAAATCAATACTTTTTAATTTTAGATTTTATTTGAATTGCATTTATTTTTAATTGTTTTATCTCGAGAATTGATAACTTTTGGTAGACCATTTGCTGCATACCTGCTTCGTTAGAGACCACAAATTGTATTGTAGATTAGATTACGATAGGTAAGAAACGAAAAATCAATACTTTTTAATTTTAGATTTTATTTGAATTGCATTTATTTTTAATTGTTTTATCTCGATAATTGATAACTTTTGGTAGACCATTTGCTGCATACCTGCTTCGTTAGAGACCACAAATTGTATTGTAGATTAGATTACGATAGGTAAGAAAAGAAAAATCAATACTTTTTAATTTTCGATTTTATTTGAATTGCATTTATTTTTAATTGTTTTATCTCGAGAATTGATAACTTTTGGTAGACCATTTGCTGCATACCTGCTTCGTTAGAGACCACAAATTGTACTGTAGATTAGATTACGATAGGTAAGAAACAAAAATCAATACTTTTTAATTTTAGATTTTATTTGAATTGCATTTATTTTTAATTGTTTTATCTCGATAATTGATAACTTTTGGTAGACCATTTGCTGCATACCTGCTTCGTTAGAGACCACAAATTGTACTGTAGATTAGATTACGATAGGTAAGAAACGAAAAATCAATACTTTTAATTTTAGATTTTATTTGAATTGCATTTTTTTTAATTGTTTTATCTCGATAATTGATAACTTTTGGTAGACCATTTGCTGCATACCTGCTTCGTTAGAGACCACAAATTGTACTGTAGATTAGATTACGATAGGTAAGAAACGAAAAATCAATACTTTTTAATTTTCGATTTTATTTGAATTGCATTTATTTTTAATTGTTTTATCTCGAGAATTGATAACTTTTGGTAGACCATTTGCTGCATACCTGCTTCGTTAGAGACCACAAATTGTACTGTAGATTAGATTACGATAGGTAAGAAACAAAAAATCAATACTTTTTAATTTTAGATTTTATTTGAATTGCATTTTTTTTTAATTGTTTTATCTCGAGAATTGATAACTTTTGGTAGACCATTTGCTGCATACCTGCTTCGTTAGAGACCACAAATTGTATTGTAGATTAGATTACGATAGGTAAGAAACGAAAAATCAATACTTTTTAATTTTAGATTTTATTTGAATTGCATTTATTTTTAATTGTTTTATCTCGAGAATTGATAACTTTTGGTAGACCATTTGCTGCATACCTGCTTCGTTAGAGACCACAAATTGTACTGTAGATTAGATTACGATAGGTAAGAAACAAAAATCAATACTTTTTAATTTTAGATTTTATTTGAATTGCATTTATTTTTAATTGTTTTATCTCGATAATTGATAACTTTTGGTAGACCATTTGCTGCATACCTGCTTCGTTAGAGACCACAAATTGTACTGTAGATTAGATTACGATAGGTAAGAAACGAAAAATCAATACTTTTTAATTTTAGATTTTATTTGAATTGCATTTTTTTTAATTGTTTTATCTCGATAATTGATAACTTTTGGTAGACCATTTGCTGCATACCTGCTTCGTTAGAGACCACAAATTGTATTGTAGATTAGATTACGATAGGAAAGAAACAAAAATCAATACTTTTTAATTTTAGATTTTATTTGAATTGCATTTTTTTTAATTGTTTTATCTCGATAATTGATAACTTTTGGTAGACCATTTGCTGCATACCTGCTTCGTTAGAGACCACAAATTGTACTGTAGATTAGATTACGATAGGTAAGAAACGAAAAATCAATACTTTTTAATTTTCGATTTTATTTGAATTGCATTTATTTTTAATTGTTTTATCTCGAGAATTGATAACTTTTGGTAGACCATTTGCTGCATACCTGCTTCGTTAGAGACCACAAATTGTATTGTAGATTAGATTACGATAGGTAAGAAACAAAAATCGTTATTTTATTTGAATTTTTATTGTTATTTGTCATTTATTGTCTTTTATTATCATTTATTTTTAATTGTTTTATCTGTAGAATTGATAACTTTTGGTAGACCATTTGCTGCATACCTGCTTTGTTAGAGACCACAAATTGTATTGTAGATTAGATTACGATAGGTAAGAAACAAAAATCAATATTTTTATTTGAATTTTTATTGTTATTTGTCATTTATTATCATTTATTTTTAATTGTTTTATCTCTGGAATTGTTAATATACACCTTGCTCCATTTCCGATTGCAATATGGTCATTTCTATGAGTTGAACAAAGAAAGATTATTAAAATGACAGTTGTCAGAGTGAAAAGTTGCAATGACATGAATGTCACTCTTTCTTTTTCCTTTATAAAGTGCCTAATGGAAGTTGTCTTTATCGCACCCATGGTCTATGTTGCAATAAAAAATGGAGCAACCTGTATGTAAGAATTAAAGTTCTTCAAAAATACTTCCTGGGTAGTGATATAAAATTTGGGGTGTTTTTTTCAACTTAATTATACATTTTTTAATCAAACCAGAACGAATTTAAGAACATTTTAATGTCCATTTCGACTAATTTTTCGACCATCTTTTCAAATCTATCATTAATTTTTTATAAACGTTATTTGGTAAAAAAGTGTGCTTGTTTTTGACACTTTCTGTACATTTTTTACCTTAAATCGCATTTTGTAAACAACACATCAGTGTATGTAAATTTAACGTTTAAAATCATTTTGCGGATTCGATTCGTGTTTGCTCTAAGCTCTATAATATTCATTAGGTAAATAATATAAATCTGGAGAATATTATTCATTATTATTACAACTCTAATCCCTCATGTTTTGGCAGCAAACACGCCGACTTTAATTTAGTCCGAGCTTGCGGACCCGATTAGAGCAGTCCCGCTCAAAAAGGAACGATCTGAATATATACAAAACAGGATCGGATTCAGGATATTTTCTTCGGGAAGATTTTAGATTAAAACCCGTTATTGTTTATACGTTATTAAAATTATTCTTATTAAGTCGAAATCTTTAGTTCCAGATATTAGTTCTAAATAAAATTCTGAGGTGTTTTGGATTGTTTTAGACAGTTCTGAACAGTTCTGAATGATTCTAAATGACTGTGGAGCGTTTGAAATAGTTCTTAAGTGTTCCAAATGGTTTTAGACAGTTTTAAATGATACTTATCAGCTTTCTAGATTGTTTTGTAGACAATTCTAAACGATTCAAATCGAGAATTTTTTTCCCTAATATACTTTCGTTAGATAATTATCGGATATTTTCTTACAAATTTTTGCAAATAATAAGATTTTAGATTTAAAAACCGTTATTGTTTGTACGTTATTCTTCTTATTAAGTCGAAATATTTAGTTCTAGATAGTTCTAAATAAAATTCTGAGGTGTTTTGGATTGTTCTAAGGCAGTTCTGAACAGTTCTGAATGATTCTAAATGACTGTGGAGCGTTTGAAATAGTTCTTAAGTGTTTCAAATGGTTTTCTACAGTTCTATAAATGATTCTGGAGCGTTCTAAATGGTTCTAGACAGTTCTAAATGATACTTATCAGCTTTCTAGATTGTTTTGTAGACAATTCTAAACGATTCAAATCGAGAATTTTTCTCCCTAATATACTCCCGTTAGATAATTATCGGATATTTTCTCACAAATTTTTGCAAATAATAAGATTTTATATTTAAAAACCGTTATTGTTTAAACGTTATTCTTCTTATTAAGTCGAAATCTTTAGTTCTAGATAGTTCTAAATAAAACTCTGAGGTGTTTTGGATTGTTCTAAGACAGTTCTGAACAGTTCTGAATGATTCTAAATGATTGTGGAGCGTTTGAAATAGTTCTTAAGTGTTTCAAATGGTTTTAGACAGTTCTATAAATGATTCTGGAGCGTTCTAAATGGTTCTAGACAGTTCTAAATGATACTTATTCAGCGTTCTAGATTGTTTTGTAGACAATTCTAAACGATTCAAATCGAGAATTTTTTTCCCTAATATACTTTCGTTAGATAATTATCGGATATTTTCTTACAAATTTTTGCAAATAATAAGATTTTAGATTTAAA